CTTGTTTTATCTCCTTGGCCTAGTTTTTCGTTAGACCATTTTGATAACTACTGTTCCTTAATAAGGCATTTTCATGTGGGGCAAGGCCACTTCTCCAGTATTACCTTCATTACAAAAGAATACTTTTGGTCTCCAGTCACGGCACAAGCAAGAGGCAACCAATGAATGTATAAATGGGCAGAACAGCAAATCGATGTTTCATCTCTCTCTCTCTGCCCCTCTCCAAAACTAATAATTCATATATATTTTTCCCATTTACTTTAGTTCTTTGTCATATTTTTAAAGTGACCCATTGGGACTATAAATGATATTGCTTAAATTCATTAATTAACTTGAACATTATTTTAATCTTTACTACTTCAACTTTTTGGTCAACAGGAGAGGATATACTTCCATTTTTCACAAAAAGCCATAGGATTACAGACTTCAGAGAGTTTAGATATCATTCAAGTTTGAGGCTTCCCTGCCCTGCACACATGCCATTTTGCAGATGATCAACCCAAGGCCAGGACAGATGGTCAGACCCAGGTGCCCAAACCTGTACCTGGTTAGAGGAACAGCTGAAAACAAAACCCAGGGCCTATCTCATTATATACTTTTTCTATGACACCATTTATTCAAGTCTTCATTCACTGCCTTTTACAATTTAAAACTCCTGTTACAGATGTCAGATATATCCTAGTTGGCTTATTTCTAGGAATTTTTTAGATTGTAGTAGGAAAAAAATGATCATTGATATTGAACTTTGAGCATATGGTTTCTTCAGTGGAGAGAAAATGTTCAGAGCTTATTCCATTACATCATACTTTCCTGAATGTTTTTTTTTTCTCTCCAAGGAAAAAAGAAAAGGAAAAGCAAATTGGCTTTTGAACCAGTCTTATTTTCTGGGTCAGTCTATCTTACGTATTAAAAGATTTTATTATGAACAATTGTTTCTTGCTCACTTTTAGTCTTCAGGGAAGTATGTTAGATACACAAAGAGATAAAAATTATAGAATCTTTCCTTTTCTGGAGAGTCTTGATATCATATTCCAGACACCTGAAATAAAGCACAACCGAAAATTCAAATAATGGTGGTTTAAAGAAAATACGATTTGTCTTTTATGTGATGGGAATTCTGAAGGTAGGCTGTCCAGGGCTATTATGTTGGTTCTACAGTGTCATCAGGCACCCAGGCCCCTTCCAGACATCTACTGTTTTAGCGTCAGAGTGTGAGTCCCATTACTGCGCATCAGAAGATTGCTAGCACCCCAGCCATCATGACTCCCAGGCACAAAGAACAAGAAGAGCCCTGGCCAGGTAACTCCATTGGTTAGACAGTCTTCCTGAAGCAACAAGGCTGGAGCACATGCAAAAATCACTCTATGAATGCATAAATAAGTGGAACAAAAAACTGATGTCTCTCTTGCCCCCCTCCCTTCCTCTTTCTCTAAAAATCAATAAATTAAAATGTAATTTTTAAAAAAGAAAGAAAGGAAAGAAGAGCAAAGGGCTGGTGCTAATTGAGTCAAGTCCTCTCTAATTTTCCTGGAGACCTGGTGACAGCTGCTTCTATCACTGCCCAGACTGTGTGAAATGACCAGCACTACCTACAAGGGAGCTCTTTAGTGGCTGTTAACATTTTAGCTAGGCACGCTGCTATCCTCAATAAAATAAAATGTTTGCTTGTAAATAAAGAGAGGAAAAGAGATACTGGACAGGCAGCCAGCACTGCCTCCTCCACTCAGTGTATGAGGTGGAAGGTATAATATAAAACTGTGTTTTGTTCAGGCTGAGATGATACAGCTGATTAGAGATTAGTACATGATCTTGATGGTTAAGTTGGATTTAGACAAAGGGTGGTGGGCAGAGGGGACATTTCAAAACTGGGAAGATGAGGCAAGAGTTCTCATAGCAGGTTCAAGGAAGAACAGCAACAGGAAGGGGGGTTATCCCTCTGCATTTAGACCGTCCTAGGAGTGTGGGGTGCAGAGAAACGCAGGCAAGAGTTGGTGATCAGTTCTGCTGACCCATCACTGTCTTCCTAATTACTTCTTCATAACAATAACTAACATTTATTAAAACCAACTATGTCAACCTGAGGGTTTGCTAGGTTTTTAAATATATATCATCTCCTATCCTTGTAAAAGCTGAATTTTAGGGATAAGGAAACTGAAGCTGGGACAGATTGAATGCTTGACCAACGTCACGCATCTTTTAAATGGAAGATATCCTGAACTGGGTCTTAGAACAATGCCACATGTTAAATTCCTTTCTTAACTTGGTGATTGCGGAGTGAAGATGGCTAGGTTAAACTTCTGCTATTCCTTTATAGTTTCTAAATTTGAAACATTCGAGTACTTTGCAAACTCTTCCACTAACTAGCAGTGTGACCATGGACATACTATTTAACTTCCCTGGATCAGAATCAGTTTCTTTATTACTCAGACATCAAACCAGACAGACGTTACAAGGAAGTTAAAAAAAGAAAAGAAAAACACCAGCAACACTATCTGTCATGATCATAGAAGCAAAAACTCTAAGCAAAATTTTAATCCAGGAAATACAACAACATATAAAATGGATAATAAAGCAGATAAAGTAGGGTTTATGACAGGAATCCTAAATTGGTTTAACATTTGAAAATCAATCAATAAAATAAAGAGAGAAAACTATGATTATCTTAACTGCTGCAGGATAAAGCATTTTTCTTTCTTTATGTCAAATTTATTGGGGTGACATTGGCTAATAAAATTATATAGCTTTCAGGTACATGGTTATATAATATATCATCTGTATGTTATGGTGTATATTTACTACCCCAAATCAAGTCTCTTTCCATTACCATTTATCTCCCCTTTAGTAGAAAAAAGCATAAAAACTCAACATCTCTTCCTAATAAAAACCTCTCAGCAGACTACAAATAGATGGAAATCTCCTTGATCTGAAAGAGTATCTGTGAAAAAACCTAGTCAACATCACACCGAATGTGAAAGACTGATTGCTCTCCCTTTAAGATCAGGATGTTCATTCTTACCATTTCTACTCAACATTGTATAGTTTCTAGCCAATGTAATAATAATAATAAAAAAAGAAATCAATGGCATCTGTATTGGAAAGGAAAACAAAAACTCTCTCTTCACAGGTAACATGGTTTCTATGCAGAAAACCTCTATGCAGAGGGTCGAACATACAAATCTAGATACAAGAAATAAGCCATCACTTGATCATAGCCGAAAGGCCAAAAAGCAATCTATATACAAGAAATAAACCACCAAAAACTGAAATTACAAAAGATGTGTAAAACCTATAAACTGAAAACTGTAAAATGCTGCTGAGAAAAATTGAAGATGACCTAAATAAATTGAGAGGCACATTTTATAAACGAGTCAGAAGATTCAATATTGTGATATCAATCCTCCCCAAATTTATGGATAGAGCCAGTGCAATCCCAATCAAAATTGTAGAAGTTAAACTGGATATGAAGTTTATGTTCAAGTACAAAAGATCTAAAATAGCCAAAACAACCTTGAGAAGTAGCAGAAAAATTCAGCACTGACGCTAGCTGATTCCAAGTGTGGTCATCAGAACATTGTGGTACTGGTGGAATGATAGAGAAACAAATTTACAGAATGGAAAAGAACACCCAGAAATAGAAGACCCACACATGGTTGGAAAAGTGACTTTTGACAAATATTCAAAGGCAGTTTAGTGGGGGAAGGGGAATCTTTTAAACAAATAGTTCTGGAACAATTGGATGTTCATGCGCAAAAGCAAAAAAAAAAACAAGAATAAAAACAAAATAAACAAAACATTTTGGCTTATGCAAAATTAACTCCAAATTATCTAAATGTAAAACAAAGAAACCCTTTAAAACTTAGAATAAAACATAGGAAAAAATCTTGAGTCAGGCAAGAATTTCTTAAATACACCGAAAAGGATGTTCTATAAAAGAAAAAATACACTGTTCTTTATAAAAATGAAAAACAACTGCTCTTCTTAAGATGCTGTTAGGACATAGAAAAACCAAGCCACAGACTGGGAAAAAAGTCTTTGGAAGGTATGTATTTGATAAAGGACTTGTATCCAGAATATACAAAGAACTCAGTAAGAAACAGCCCACTAAGAGTGGACAAAGGATATGAACAGATGCTCCACCAAAGAAAATATATCCTCTGTAGAAAAGCACATGAAAAAGATGTCCACATCATATGTCAGTAGAGAAGACAAAATAAAACCACAATAAGATTCCACCACACACTATTAGAATGGCTACAATGAAAAAGTCTGGATATTCAAGTGCTGACAAGAATGTAGAGGAACTGGAACTCTCATACCAGCTGGTGGGAATGGAAAGGGAAGGGCCATTTTGGAAAACATTTTTGTGGTCACTTAAAATGTTATACCTACCTTATGACCTAGCCATTCCATTTCTAGGTTTACCCAACAGAAAAGATAACACATGTCCACACATAGATGTGTACAGGAATGTCCCCAGCAGCTTTATTTCCAATCAGGAAAAATTGGAAACTATACAAATACATGTTTATCAACAGGTGAGTAGGTAAATTGTGGCACATCCATACTACCCATACTGAGTAGTATTCCATCCACATCCATGGAATACTACTCAGCACTAACCAGGGATGAATTGTTACACTCAAAATAATTATGCTGAGCGACAGAAGTTAGACACAATTAAGTACACATTGTTTGATTTCATGTTTATTCAACTCAAGAAAATGTGAACTGATTTACAGTTCTCTTTACATATAATTTCAGAAATGCAAACCAACTGGGACAAACCAGTGTTTGGGCTAGGAAAGAGGACAGCGGGCCTGGGTGGCGTGGGACAGGGTGAGGGGCAGAGCAGAAATGAGGAAGGGGTAGGGCGGGGCAGGAGCGGGAGTGTGTGGGAGGAGGCACCGAGAACGAAGGCCTGGAGAGCGGCGGGGCGACAGCGAAGGGGCGGGAGCGCAGGCGCGGGGCGCAAGGGCTGGAAGGGGAGGGAGCGGGGTGGTGCCGAGGGGCGGGGACTGCGGACGTTAGAGTCATGGCGCTTCTGCTCCGCAGCCCCTGGGGTCTCCGCTTCCGAGAGGCATTTCTGCAGGCTGTTCGGAGCCGATCAGTTAGCGGTGTCCTCGGCGTCAGGGCCAAACACGGGGACGCAGGTAGGACGCTGGCCTCGTAGGCCTCGCAGGCCCCACAGCCCCCCCGCAGGCCTCGCCGCCGCCTCCCGTTTTTCAGTTCTTCCAGTTTCTGTGGCCGGGACTTGAGTGCCCGAATGCCGGTCTGAACCCGGCTCGGGCACTGGGTTGCAAACTTGGAGGGACAGAAGGGGAGTCATTGAGAATTGGAGGAGAGCTATAGATCCTCTCCCGGAACGTGCACACTTTTTTTTTCCTTTTGCATAAAATTCTGGGCTCAGGAGGCCTGACGCTTATCCTGGGACTTTAGCTGGAGACCCGCAGTAGGGGAGCAACAACCGGACACCCGCGGGCTCTCCCCGGGAGGCCCTTCATCTTTTTCGTCTTTTACACTGTCCCGCTCCCGCACCCTTCGGGGAGTCGCTTCTCGAAGCAGGCAGTTCAGATCTGGAGCTCCTGTGGACTGGCTTCCTGCCCCGCTCTACTGCTGTGATGTTTCAGGACCCAGGGAAACACAGGCTAACCCTTTAAACTGATCCTTGCTTGTCAGTCGCAGAGACCGACAACGGGAAAGTGTGTACGTTTTCTGCAAAATGCCCCTGGCATCTCTGGTGGATTGGGTCACCTTTACATTTCATTCTTTAGTATGTAATCCCCTGTATTTCAGATCTATTTCAGGGTAATTTAGTGGCCCGTGTGGGTTGGCTTCCAGACCATCTCTGAATCCAGTTCTGTTCTGTGTTCTTTGAAGACATTTTAAAGATACCTAATGCTGCTGAAAATGTACCCAGTCACTTGGAACTTTTTATTCCTGGAAGTTTTCAAAATGTAGTGTTAAATAGAAGCACCAGCATTATGGAGTGATAGCTGATCCAACATGACTTCTGGTCATGGCCTTCAGAACCCCTTGGTGTCTCTAATCAGCCAATCCGGTGATATTTGTTGCCTGTCTACTGTGTGCCAAGCACTACTTTGCTAAGAACGTCGCAATTGTTAGCTGAAGTTCTCTTTCCCCTTTTATAGGGTAGTGGTTTCAGCAGAAACGTGTCCTTTACAAACATACTTGTTGCTCTGAAACAGCCTAGTGAATTGTCCTTGAATCTGAAGTTTTTCAGCAATATTAAATTTTGGCCAGACACCAGTACATAACTAGAGTGGTGTAACTTATCAGATACCTCCTCCTGGATGTAGATCCTAAGGAAGTAATTCAAAGGAACAAAGCTTATGTGCAAAGATGTTTTTAAGAGCACTACGTTTAAGAACCAGAGCCTGACTATTGTCCAATGTCCATCAGTTAAGGAATGCTTGCAGAAACCATGAAAGTTCAATTCAACAAACTATTAGTCATTCATTAAAAATGATTAAAAGGTAATTAAAGGCTTTGGTGTGGACAGTGTTACTTAATGGCTGTGTTTTGGGCACATCTTGAACTTGGTAAGTTTAAACCTGTTTTTTTTCTCTTCTATAAAATAAGGATAATGACAATAGTCTTGTACAGAATAAATGGAAAAAATAATTTAAAGTACTTTATCACAATGGTTGGCACTTAGTAAGCACACAATAAATGTTAGTTACACTTTACACTTCACATGTAAAGAAATGGAAAAGATGAAAATGGAGTCCACATTTAACCCATGTGGTGTGGACTTCAGAAGTTGGAGAAAAAAATTAGAAGATGTTGAAAGTGACAGAGGACTGTTCTCCAGCAGTGAGACTTGTGATATACAAGGACAAGACCCCTATAATTTTGTCATCTACACAGACAAAGAGCAAATTGAAAAGGAAAGTGAGAAGTATTTGGGAAAAACAATCTGTTTCAGGAAAACATTCTTTGTAGAGATGTCTGCTTGGACTTTATCTGAGCTAAAGTTTAAAACAGTCCAGTCACTGTGGTGGGAGAGGAGGTTAATTCTACAGTTAAGAGTAGGCGGGGAATCTTTTTACACCAGTTCCTATAGGTTCTTTTATTTTCAACAAGTAGTTACTGAAATGGCTTGTGTGGGACAATTGCAGCATAGCCATTGTGGCCAGAAAGGTGAGCAAAGCCAGGAGGGGGGGTGACCATATGAGTAAGAGTGTGTTTTATAAATATGAGCAAATAAAGGCCTACCTTATGGAACACATGACCGACAAGAAATGGAGCCTGTGCAAATCACAGCATAAAGAGAGAAAGGAACCCAAATGAATCTGAGTTTATCAAAGCATAGTTCAAGGTAGAGCTGTGTAGCCATCAAATGCAATAGCGGCAGCAGCCCAGACTTGATTGTGAAGATAGCAAGAGAATGTAGAGGGAATCTGAAAGACCTGAGGTCAAAGGACCCATACAAGGTGCAGGTGATATGGATTGAGGACAGAAAACATCTGCATGCACACACACACACAGTAGCGTGAGGAGACCAACCTGAATCCTGCTCTCCAGCCACTGGTGGCCAAAAGAAAGACTTAACTCATTCCCTTGCTCTATGTTGTATGTACATGCACCTAAATTGCTGTTTGGTAAAACTGCAAAGAATTTACTGATAATGCAACTTTAGTCATTTTCTAAAGCACAGTGGATTACTCTGCTTAGGCTGCCATGACAAAATACCTTAGACTGGGTGGCTGAGAAAACAGAAATATATTTCCTCACAATTCTAGAGGCTGCAAGTCCAAGATCAGTGTTGGGCAGGGTTCACACCCTGCTCCCTTCCCGCCGCCAGGCCCGTCTCTCCTTGCAGATGGCTTTTTCTTTGTGCTTTCACTTCCTTGGCGTGTCTTCCAGGGACACCAATCAGATTGGGTTAGGGCCCATCCTCATGATGTGATTTTTAACTTAATCACCTCTTTAAAAGTCCTATCTCCAAATATGATTACATTATTAGGCACTGAGAATTAGGACTTCAACATATGAATGGGCTGGGTGGGTGTGCACAGTTCAGCTCACAATACCCAGTTTAAACATCTTCAAGTGATGCAGATCATGTATATCCTGACCTGAGAGTACCAACTGACCATTTGTCATTTGGCTATCAAGGCAGACTCTGTCTCCCCTTGACACAGTCACCTAGGCCGGCAAATTGGCAACAAAATGTTTGTAATTGGTGCTTGAATTGGTGCTTCATCAACTAGTTTTAACACTGATACCCACCCATGAAACCTTTCGCACACAATAATAGTGTAAAAGGATAGGTAAGGGTTAGAAGAGCCATGACAAATGTAGTTTCTTGTATTTAGATGAAGGAGGAATTATTTTGTTTAACCATTTAAACGTGAATTTTTAACTAAAAACCATTGCAGCAGAGGGAGAAGGTGGGTGCCTGAAAACAGGTGGTCAGAAAGCCAGGCAGAGGGAGCCGGGATGCATGCCTCAGGCTCAGAGCTAAAGCATGGGCGTCCCACAGAACGCAGCCCCTCATGAACTCCCCTCTCTACCGTCCGCTGTTATATTGTGCTGCATGTTGAAAGACACTAAGGGCAATACTTTCAGGAGACAATAGGTTTTGGTTCTTTTTCTCTAATTCTATCCCATTTCCTTCCCAAAAGGAGATAGATGGGAAGATAATGGCAGCTTTATGAACTATAAATCCCAACCTTAACACCAAAAGTTGATCCTCCTCTTAGCTAGCCATAGAAATAATGCAGAAATGTAAGATCTTTGCCAAAGCCAAGAATGACATGGCAGGACAGATATCTGAAGGGTAAGGAGAGCTTTTACCATTGTGCTCCATTGCTCCTTTTGTTGCTAGTTGCCAGTAATAGCCAGGATTCAGATTTCACAAGTTTCCCTCAAGGATGGAGTTTAGGTTCTGTGAGGAGGAATCAAGGACAGTTCATTCTAACTAGAAAAACCTGTTTTTACTTATTGATACAGGGTGCAGCCAAGGGGGGTGCTGTGAGAGCTTGGAAAAGATGGGCCCTGGGACATGAGGGGATAACTGCCCAGGTGAGGAGAGGGCCTCGCGGTTTGGGGCAGAGGGAGGACCCCTGCAGCCATGTAGGGGAGAGCCACGCGGTTTCAGCAGAGTGAGGATCCCCTCTTGGCGAGGTGGAGAGGAGAGCCATGCTGTTTTGGAAGAGTGCAGACCCCTGCAGCCAGGTGAAGAAAGCCTCACACTTTTGGTCAGAGTCCTGACCCCTGCAGCTTTGATAGAAGAGGCCCACGCAGCTTTGGGGTGCCCCCTTTGGCCGAGTGGCCTGGGAAGCAGGAGAGACTTTGACTGGAACTGGGTACAAAGGACTCTTGCCAGTGGACCATGAGAGGGTACCACAGTACTTTGGATTAACTGGAGATCCTGCCTGCACGGTGATACAGCTGACGGTGCCAGTGGCCTGAAAAAGGGACGTGTGCTCTTTTCCTGATTTATGGTACCCGGAGCTGGGACAGTGGGAGAAGGGAGCGCTGTGTGGGTGCAGGTGTATACTCTAAAGGACTTTGATATTTTAGTGGAGGCGTTAGGCCTGAATAGCATTAAATAAACATTTTGTTTTCTTTTCACAAATCTCTAGCATTGAGAGATGTCTTTCCAATTGGCAGCGGACAGAAGAGCCCAGTAGATATTAGTATTTTGTCCTTGGGAGGGGCCCCTGTTCTTTAGCAGTTTTTGGCATCCCTAGGTGGGCCAAATATTGCCCCCCATTGGACCTCTTGTTCGGTAACATTACCTTCTGAATTTTCACCTTTTGGAGTGCCCTTTGTGTGACCACTCCTGGCTTAGATCATAATCTGACACATTGACACTGGCCAGCTCTTAGCATTTTGGCCTTGATTGAGGGCTTACAAAATGTACTTATACCTGTACACCCACCAGTCTTTTAGGCTGTCTAAAGTGGAATGTCTTCCACTTCCCTTAGGGTTAAGCAAATAGTTCACACCCATTAAAACTAGCTCTGATCCTAATTACTCTTAAAACAGTAATTTGATCCTAATTACTCTTAAAACAAAGTCAACAGCAACAAAAACAACACCTGATAACCAAGCCTAAAATGATTTTTTAAATGTTTCCATCATTCTTTTGGCAGTTTATCTTGCATTGTTTTGTAAACCTCCTTTATTGTTATCTTGAACAGTTACCCAAAGCTTATATGGTCAGTAAATTTTTCTCTGTTTAACTGGTTTCCATATTTGGTGTACTTTAGGTCAAGCATAGCTCCGCAGCTCTCCCCACTTCTCTCCTAAATCATCAATTTATCCTTTCCACTGGATCAGTCCCATCAACACATTAGGGTACTATGATTTCTGACATGTTAAAAAATGCTTTTGACCTCACTTTCCTTCCTAGCCACCCCCAGAACTCCTCAAGAGACTGATGCAGAGGTACTCCTGTCTCTCCCTCCTCCTTTTCTCTTTTTAAATTTATTCCGATCAGATTCACCCCCACTGTACCTAAACTGCTCTTTTTTAGGTCTGTCAGTCATCTCTTGATTTTTCAACACAGTAGATTATTCCATTTTCTTTAAAATACTTAGCTCCAGGACGGCATATTCTCTTGGTTTCCTTCCTGTTTCTCTCTGCGGCTCCCCGTAGCATCAGCCTGTATGTTTAGAGTGCCTCAAAGTCAAGCTCTTTGGCCTCTGTTTGTCTATACTCACCGAGTTGGGGATTGTCCAGTTTCATGGTTTTAAATACATCTTAATTCTGAGGAGTCCCAAATTTACATCTCTCCTGGGGCCTCTCCCTGAACTCTAAGTCCGTATTTCCAACTGCCTACCCATCCTCTCTATTTGCATATCTAATTGACATTCTTAAACTTACATACGACACCAAATTTCCAAACCTACTCCTGTCCTCTTTCCCATTGTCCAGTACCTGACCAGAGCCTTGGAATGGTGACCGTTGACCCTTTTCCTTCTCTCATGCTCCACAGCTGATCCATCAGCACACCCTCTGGCTCTGCCCCCAGGACGTGTCTAGTGTGTGACTGCTTCTAAGCGCCTCTGCTGCATCCACCCTGCCCCCATTTCTTCCATCTCTTCCATCTCTCAGCCAGATTATTTGTTTCTTTCATGTTTTCCTGGCTTTAGCCTTTGCCCAGCTTCATGTATTCATGTGTGTACATACCCTCACTTTCTAATCACCTTTGTGATTTTTTTAAAAAATCACCTAAAGATCTATATTCTTTACTTATTTAGTTAATTTTACTTCTACTCCCTAAGGCAGTGATTCTTTGTGTGTTTTCTTTACTCCTGTATTCATAACATTTAGAATATTATCTGGCACACAGTAGGTGCTCTGTAAATATTTGTTGACTGACTGAACAAAAAAATGAATATTTATTAAATGCCAAAGCACTGTAATATATAATAGTGATACATTGAACAAAGACAATTATTTCAGACTTCCAGCTTCTAGACTAATGAGACATCCAGACAAACTACCCTGCAGTCATTGTGATTAAATGGCCTATCAAGGAAATACTGCAGGGCGTATACTGCAGGCAATACTGCAGAGGAAGATCTGGCAGCTCAGATCTGAGGAAGGGGGATGGTGGTCAGGGAAGGTCTCTTGGAGAATATAACATGTAGACTGAGAACAGAGGTTGGAGACCTCCAGGTTCTGGTCCAGAATATAGGGATCTTGGAAGTCTTCACTCCATCTTAACAAGTAAAAAGCTGAGCAAAACAGGACATGTTCTGGGGAACTCAGAGGTTTGCAGTTCAGAAGGACTGGGGCATAGTGGAAGGGAGGAGTTGAAAGTGGTAACCAGAGTCAAATCACACAGGTCTTTGCAAGTCACATTGAGGAGTTTGGAATTTTACTCGAGTGTATCATGTTGTATTGAATAGTTTGGGGCAGTGAGAAAAAGGAATTGATCAGGATCTGCAAGGACTTGCGGAAGAGGAGACTTTTGTAATAATCTATGCGGGAGGTAATGGTGGCCTGACGCAGGGTGGTAGCAGAGAAATGAGAATGAACAGATCTGAGTCATTTAGGAAGTAGAACCAACAGGACTTGGTGCAAGGAAAATGGAAGAATCATGGGCAATGGCCTGGCTCTCTGGTTTGAAACATGGGATGGATGAGCCCATCCATCCCATGTGAGGAGAAACATGTGAGGAAAGGAGCAGATTTGGGTTCAGGTGGGGCAGGCACAAGAAGGCCTTTTGTGCATGTAGTTTGAGATGGGACATCCTAGTGGAGATATCGAGGTGTCGATTGTAAGGATGGGCAAATGTAGGTTCAAAGTTGTTCACATGGAAAAAGACATGCAGGCTATGATTATTACAGTAGCTTTATTAACTCAAAAAATCGTCATTCACAACTGACTTTGCCAAAAAGTGGTCAAAGTAAGCCTACTTTTGCCCACCCCTGTATATTGATCTACAATTCAGAGAGATATAGCATGGAAAGAAAAGTAGATTTGGGAGTCTCATCATATAGATGGTACTTGAAGCTACCAAATGGATAAAACCCCAAGGAGCACATGTGGAGTGATGGTAGAAGAAAGCCTGGGACAGATAGATTCCTCTGAAGCACACCACGATTCCAGGGTGGCTAGAGGAAGGGAAATTGAAGAGACTGATAGGGAGTAACTGGATGCTGCAGAGAATTTGGTGTCGTGGAAGCCAAGGGAACAAAATATACCCCCGAAAAGAGAATATCGAGTGTTAATACTGCCGAGAAGTAAATAAGGATGAAAGGATGAACTGTCCCTAGGTTTTTTACTAAGAAGTCCTCAGTGAGCCCTCTGAGAACAGATTCAGTGCATTGCAGGGGTGGAGGGTGGGGGTGAGGTTGTGTCCTCAGTGTGTCACACCCTGTGACACACTGTGTCTGTGTTGCTGATGCTAACTTCGCTTACTTGGATAAGGTGGTGATTTCTACATTTTTCCATTGTGAAGGAATATTTTCTTCCTTGTAATTAATAATCTTTGACATCATATTTTGAAAATGTTTGAATATTCCATTCTTCAACAGCTTTCACCCAAATGGTTTAGAATCCCCTGATGGTTCTTGATTGAATCAGTTATTATTTTATTGATTGCAAAAATGCTGATTTAAAAAATTTTTATCATTCCTTCTCTATTTATTACTTGGCATTCTGCCTGATAACTCTGAAAGCTACTGAGCAGTAAAAATTGTCACATAAATACATTTTGCTTTGCTCACCAAGAGATGAGTTCCTGAAAAATTGCGTGTAATTGAGCTATATTTCCATAGTAAAATAAATTCCTGTAGCTTTATAAAAACCATTTAAGAAAGGGCAACGTTCAGTATATATGACAGGCAAAAACCCTTTAATAAAATGTAAACAACTATAAGGGATCAACAGTATGTAATACCAAAATAACATACTGTACATTATTATGACCTGATGAGGAAAATATATGTATTTTCTTGCTGAAAGAGTGTTTAGGAATCTTTTGTAACCAAAATGAATTTCCAATATGAGGTTCTGACATGTTTGATTCTTGATAGTGAGATCACAGGTGTTTGACATTCCGTCTTCAATGCAATGGCCAGGTTACTCACCCTTCGGACCTCTGCTTTCTCACTGAGGTGGACAAATTACAAGATCCCATCAAATTATTAATGTTGGATGATTAAAACATTTATTATATATATTGGCTTCCTGTCCCCCTTTGGCTAAGAGAGTAGAGTGGACCCTTGAACAACAAGGGGCTTGGGGTGCAGTTGAAAATCTGCATATAACTACTAGTTGGCCCTCTGCACATGCAGATTCACAGCTTCGAATACATTGTCTGGTGCTAGTTATTTTGTTTACATTCATTGGAATAGAAGTAGTAAGATAGAGGCCAGAGAAAGTAGGAGAAAGGAAACAAATTGTGAATAAAAACTATGAAGCATTAGAATAGGTTCTGGTGGGTCTCGGTTTCCCTTTCAGGAGTATATGCTATAGGGGTCTCTTCTTTTTTTCCCCCGCACAAGAAGGGTTTTTAATAAAGACTTTCCTTGACAAACAAAATCAGAGATATCTTTATAAACCCGCAAGGGAGAGGAGTTTAATAACCCACTAGCTCAACCTTCTTTTCTTTCCAATCACTCAACTACTCCCAGCTGTATCCTGACAGGAACTAGTGCTTTGAACATAGTAATGGAAGAAGGATCAATTTCTCCCCTTAGGTACCTGAGGAGAATTTATTCTGCATTGTTTCATATTTCAGCTGCCTCTTTAGCTTCTGTGCCCCACGGGGACTAGGAAACTGGCTCTCTGCTTATTACTCATTTCTTATTAAACTAATGACTCAATTAAAGCATTTTATACTGGAGCTTTCTGGTTTCTGTGACGAATGAAGGAGTGGGAGAGAGGGGAGGGAATGACTTATTCTGCTGGGTAACGGTGTACTTTAGGAGAAAGGCTGAGGATCAAAAGGTCATTGTGCCTTTTTGTTTTAATTTTAAAAATCTTATTTAACAGGGTCCATTACAAAACATGAGCCATCTCACGCCAAGAGTGAGTGGCGAAAGAAGCTGACTCCAGAGCAATTCTATGTCACCAGAGAAAAAGGAACTGAACCGGTAAGCTAAACTGACTTACAGTCTTCTGACTAGAGGCATAGAGAGTGGGATTGGGCTAGATCTAGTTACAAAGCCTAACTGATCATCCTCCTCTCAGACCACTGACATCCACCCAGCTGTAGAAACCAGAAACCTTCCCCTGGACATGCCACTCTCTGCCCTCCATCAGCTCACCATCTATTGTGCCTCCTAAAAGTTACCTCCCAATCACTCCTCACCACGGCTCCTGCTGCCATGCTGGTCCAGGTTCCCACCATCTCTCTGATTGCACTGCAGTGGCCTCCAGTCTTCTACTCACGGCCACTCGTGCTCCTCATCTGGCCGCTCTCCACACGGCCTCCGAAGAGTTCTTTCCAAAACGCAGATCCGACCACATCACTCCCCTGCTTAAAATCTTTCAGTGGCTTTCCACTGCTTTCAAGGCAAAGAGAAAAGTGTTTAAATAGCTAATAAGGCCCTAACAGCCCTGGCCTCTACCTCCCACCTCCATTCTCAAATCCTGCCATTTTACCTCCTAATCTCTGAACTTTGGCCACACTGTCCTTTCATCTCTCAAACACCGGGGCTCCCTTCTCCCCTAGGGCCCTTGTACCCTGTGCTCTCCTTTCCCATCACCGTCTCTCCACCCCCGCTAATTCAGTCAAACCTATATTTCAGCTCTCAGCCCAAACCTCACTTCCTCAGGGAAGCCTTTCCTCGTCTCCAGAGTGGGTTTGCGTTACGGGTCCTTTTCCTTCATTGCACTTGCCATTACTGGTACATCCCTAGCACATAACATGGCATCTGGTACTCAGAAAATAAATTACCTGAATGTTAAAGACTAAGAGGCGGAAACATTATTTAGACTACATTGAAGAATCTCACCGTATTCACTTCCTGAGAGAACAGTCCTAAGTAGTTCCTCATTATAATGTCACTTTTACAGCACTGCATTTCTTAACAAGTGGCCTGTCTTAGACCCTAATTGGCCACTGGAATATAGCTATTGAACTTGGCTATTAGATGCTTTAATTTGTGAAGCAGACCCCACAGAGTGGACTACAGCACAGTGGTTTTGCAAAGTTGTAGAGTATTTATAAGTTTACTTTAGCAGTTTCTACACAGTTCAAGTAGCTGTCCATGCGCATGTGGCCTTATAATCATGGCCTTGCCCTCTACTTCTGTGCTGAAGTCATAAGACAGGCCAGCAAATTCTAATAGATTTTTGTGAAAGACTGGTATTTGCAGACTTCCTGTGGGTGGAATTTTAATAAAGCCTTTACCGGGACAGAGACTATATTTGCTGTTATTGCATGTGGCATAAGGGAGCCATACGTGATACTCGGTACATTTGTGTGCATTCCCAGACTATTCTAGGCCAGACCTGTTCTCAGGCAAAGCTTGGTGTATGTACAGGGCCTGGAGATGAGCTGCCTGACGTTTAGAAGAAAACTGTGGGATTCTCAAACAGATGGTGCGTTATACTCTCTGCTTTTGGCCATTTTACAAAATGAGCCTCATCTGTTTTAACTAGTGCTATAAATCCCTTTCACTTGATCCATTTCCACATTTAACTTTTTAAAATATTGCAGAACTATAAGCCTTTGCTATCTTCATAAGGCCAAGGAAAAAGAAGTAAAACATCTAAGCTTTTTGATAGGTGACTCCAAATTAAGATTGAGTTCCATGTGTTTTTATTGGGCAGCAGTGATGTGCTGGCCCTCCGCCAGGCATGATGAAGGGGTTTATATCCTGGTTGAGCAGTAACTGAAAGTCAGATATCGGGAGAAGGCAGGCTTTACGCTGGCCATCCTCTGTCTGCTCCTCAGATCTGCCTGCCTCTTGCTTTACCCCACTTGCAGCTCTTGGAAGAGTAGTCATCTCCCTTACCCTCTGATTACTGATTGACTTTGACCATTGGGAGATGCCAGAGAGATCAGATGGCAGGATAGAGAATTGGGGTCCAGGGTCCTGTCTAGAGCTCTGTCCTTCCAGTGCAGATTGAAGCTGTAGCAGGCAGCCCTCACCTACAGTTGCAGTGTCACGGGTTCTGGTAACTGCCCCTTCCTTTGGCCAAGAGGCCTAGCAGCGGACTTGTGTTCTGTGGTCACTGGTCCAGGGGTGCTTCACCCTCCCTTGTTGGTTTCCACTGGCCCTGTCCACACTTTTTTTTTCTTGGAGAGAGGGAAGGGAGGGAGAGAGAGAGAGAAACATCAGTGTGTGGTTGCCTCTTATGTGCCCCCTACTGGGGACCTGGCTTGCAACTCAGGCATGTGCCCTGGCTGGGAATCAAACTAGAAACCCTTTGGTTATCAGGCCAGTACTCAATCCACTGAGCCATACTAGCCAGGGCTTCCCACCTTTGTAAATGGTTCTGTATTAAATTATCTGCAAATTATCCCTTTTCAGGGTGTCATCTGTTTCTAGCGGGTTTGTTGTATTAACAAGATCACAGAAGGGAGAATTCCCATTGGTCCAGACTGTCTTAGTCATTTCCGACTGCTGTAACAGAATACTATAGACTGCAGGGCGTAGACAGCAAACATTTATTCTCACTGTTCTGCAGGCTAGAAAGTCCAAGGCGCCAGCAATTTCATGACTGCAGAGAGCTTTATTCCTGGTTTGCAGATGGCTACCTTCTTTCTGTGTCCTCATGTACTGGAGGAAGAGAACAGCTTCTCTCTCATGACTCTTCTTATAAGGGTGCCAGTCCCATTCATCAAGGCCTTACCCTCATGACCTTGTCACCTTCCAAAGGTCCCACCTCTAAGTACCATCACACGGTACTCAGGCTTCAACAAACCCTCAGTCCGTAGCAGACATTGAAAACCCCGCGGGTATCTTCAGTGTCATTCCGTCTCTCACCTGTTCTCCTCCCCATACACTCGTTTCAGTTCTGTCTTCTAAATAATTCTTTAACTCTCCCTCTTCTTTTTGTTACCAGTGCTCTTGCTACAGCTCAATCCAGGCCTGTATTAGTGGCTTTTTGGTGGTTCTTTGCCTCCAGTGTTTTCTTGCCCCTGCTCTAGCCCATTCTTCACATGGATGCCGTGTGCACACCCAGTTTAAGTTTCCACTGGACACATACCAGGTTTTCAAGTAAACACTAGTGTGAACAATTGAGGTGGAAGCTGGGTTTAGCCCTAAATAAGAGCTAGGATATATAAAGTTGTGGAGGGAAGAAGGAGACATCAGGAAATCAGGCAAAGAGGTAGCTCACAGATGTCATTTCATCAAATATGTCAGTTAGCACTTCCTTTTCATTTCAATATTTTAAAGTTGTAATACCAGTTCCTTATTACTTTCTCTGTCCAGCTGCCCCCTACAATGACAAAATTATATTTTCAATCTTATCAGGCTGTCTGGATCCTGTGACTGGGCTTTTCTAGATTAACTTCAGAACTGGGAGCCTTTGGGCATATGTATGTCATCAGCCCAGGTGGGAGGGATGTGAAACTGCCTTCTCCTGATAGATGCTCATTCCCAATGTTGGGAACGAGCATTCCAGGGGACAGGCCAAAAAATGACCCGCTCACTACTGTTCAGATCTCTCCAGCTAAGTTTAAGTTCTTTAAAGAGGGAAACATCCAAGGTGCCCGGATTGTAGGCTCAGGAGGTTATTGACATTGTCCATTATTTAGCTCACTGGAAATGTGCCGTTAATACCACCACAGGGGACTCGAATGTTTGACCTGTGAATTTGTTGAGTTGGGAAATCTAGAGTGGCTGGAAGAGTCCAGCATATTTCCTGATCAGCTCTGTGACTCGGTGAGCCATTCTGTACTTCTGCTTCTCTTCCATCCCATAAAATGGGACAGTGGGTCGTAGTTGGCTAGTGCAAGGGTTTCTTTTTCTTTAATTTTCTTTGACACAAAAAAAGAATTGGACAAAAATGGTCTTTTTTTTTAGCCAGTGACATACAATTTGCAAAATAACATTTAAAAAAATTGACTCAGCTTACTCATTGCCTCAAGTTTCCTTGTGTTCCTCTCAGAAGACCTTTACACCTGCAGACTCCGGAGCCCCAATTAATGTAGTCATTCCATCTATGCCGTCACTTAGGCACTGGGAGAATCTACCTCATTATTTAACATTTATTAAGTATGCAGTGTCCTCAACACTGTGTGAAGCATAGTAAAGGCACAACCCTGATCTCACTGAGCTCTACTTCGTATATATTCATATTCCATCTTTAATTGGAGATTTCAAAGTGTTTTTGACAGGGGACTAGATTGCCGTTGCATTGACTCTGTTGAAGTGGAGAGAAATCTTACACAATCCAGGGGACTGTTCTCTCCCCTTTTCATAGACTTTGGTGCTTCTGGATGAAAGGTGCTATGTAAATATAGGACATTATTAATGTCGTAATTTGGATATTTGGCACAATAAAGGATGGGCTATAAATAAGTCTGCAGGCTGCTTCATTGGGTGTGTGGTAATTTTCTCTCTGGTGATATTTGCACTTTGTCAAATTAGTACGAAAGTTCCTCTGTATGGATATTCCACCTTGGATTCAAATCTCCTGTTATCATCTCCTGTTAGAGTTATGAGAAACCTGAACATGATGCATCTAATTGACTTTCAGCCTTTCAGTGGGATCTACCTGAATAACAGGGAATCGGGAATGTATCACTGCGTGTGCTGTGACAGCCCACTCTTCAGGTGAGATAAAGGATAGAGAAATTCTGAAGGAGAACAGACCTCAGGTTTGCCTCATTTGATGCCTTGGATAAAAACATACCCATATTGTTTTTAATTGCCCTTCTCATCTGACATGGTTGCTATAAGGAGAGCTATTTATGTAAGATGCTTGCTTGTTTTAATTATTTCTAATATTTACAGTTAGCAAGACTTCTTAGCCTATATTCTTTCTTTTTGTGTCCCCAAGAAAAAGCAAAATAATAAAACTTGGTGGGTACCTTAAAGAAAAGCTATTAGAATTTTTTCCCTGGGAAAGTATTTAAAGAAATCTGAACCATAATAGTATTTGCTTGGCCATGTGATTAAAACTGTATCTCTCTCAGGGAAAATGGATTTATAATTCAATTTAGGAAATGTAGAATTTTATGAGGACAGATTCCCAGAATGCTCGACGGAAGTGAATACTATGCCCTCTTCTATGTAGCTGAAAGTAAATTTAATTGTCCCTTGATTTCAAAGCCTCTTTTAAGTCAATCAGGATCTGAAATCTCTCAACAAAGGCCTTTTTGTTTAGACATGCGGGGAAACAGTCTAAAAAAAAGTAGATTCAGTGGAGAAGAAAGGAAAACATCTTTGAAGTCTTGTTTTTCAGAACTTCAAAGATGTTGTTTTTTTCTTTCGCATCAACCCTAAATTGGTTTAGAATAAAATAGAAATCAAGGCAGTTCTGGGAGTCTTCCATGAGGCAGTGCTTCATTATGTCCTTCGGGCTTTGGGCAGACTGGGCTTTCCTGCGAATGTGGACTGAGTTTGGAAAGCCAGATCCCGCCTTCAAGGTTGAGGAACAATTAGAACTGATTTTTCTTCATGCTCATGGAAGGGCAGGCCTTTGCCCAGATTCATTCATTCTGTCAGTGGCCAGTGAGGAGACATCTAAGATGACAGTCAGCCAAGAGTGGCCTGGGGACAACTAAGAGACAAAGGTTAATTTTGACACAGTAAAATGTGGGATGCATGTTTTTGAGACAGTTGTGCCATGACTTTTGGTTCTATTAAAGAGAAGTAGGATCTAGAGATGGCCAACCTGCTTTAAGCCAGAGGACCATGTTGTAACAATATCAAGGACTGCCTTATTACAGTATGGTAACCAGGCAGATGTTCTGTTTCTGTCTTTGGACTGTGAAGACAAACGATTAGAAGCCATCCTTGTAAGAGCATTCTCCTACATTTTATTTTTTGGGTTTTTTTCCTTCAAAGGTGTTCCAGTTTATGCAATAGTAAAGTTGAGACCTTCTTCCTACCCAGGCACAGGATAGGAAGGCACAGATTCACAGAACGTGGGAGCAAGGAGGACCCCAGAGGCCAGGGCAGAGGACTCTGGTAGAACTCTCTGCGATGATGGAATGTTCTCTGTCTGCTCTGTGCACTGGAGACCACTAATCTCATGTGGCTATACAGCACTTTGAATGTGGCTAATGCCACTGAAAAACTGAATATTTTATCTTATTTAATTTTAATTAATTTAACTTATAAGGCTATGTGTGGCCCGGCTACTGTTGTAGCACAGTGGTAGTCCAAATGAAGGAAGTTGACTGAGCAGCCCCAGGTCCCTAAGGTGGTGAAGCAGCCAGACCAACAGGAGAGCTAGCTGATTCTCCAAAGCCTGTGCACCAAGTGGCCAGTTTACTGAACTGCCAGTTCACCAACCTTATTTGTTTCTTTTCAGTCACTTAGTTTTAGTTGAATAGTTTTCATTTTCTTTTTTAAAGAATTTTTGAGTTTCTGTTCTATTTTGCTGCTGGTGGTGCAGTGAAGACTAAGAGAAATAAGAATATATTCGTGAGAATCATTTAGGTCCCAGAATATTCTCTTTTTGAAGATATTTGTTATAGTGTAACAGTGGTTAAGGCTGCCTAGAAGTACACCCTTGCTCCATGGCCCTGTGGTCTTTGGCAAATTTCTTAATCTTTCCGTGCCTCAGTTGGGTCACCTGTGAAATGAGCATGACAGTAGTACTGAATTTATAAGGTCATTGACAGGACTAACCTAGTTACGAGTTAACACAATATAAGAACGTCAGAGAAATGCTTGGCAGAGGCCACGCACTCAATACTAGCAGTGTTACCAATGATAATCTTTCTCGGAGCTAAATATATGAATGTATCTTCGATAATGAGGATTTCTTGAGAATATATTCTAATTAATGAAAACTTATACATGAAGGCTATATTACTGAGCATACTTGTCATTCAAGAGGCTAGTCTTGGGAATATATTTTTGTTTTGCCTCTCATTTCCTCCCTCACTGTGTCCCCAGTTTCCAGGCTTAATTATAGGGGGCAGGGATAGAGAAAAATAAACGTTTCTTCAAACGCTTCTATGAAGTCAAAAGGAGGTGAAAAGCCAGTCAACCAAAACTACATCGCTGAAGAGTCGAGTGGATGTGGGACCACTGCCTCTTGGCGGATGGGCTCACAGCTGCCCACAGAGTTGGCTTCACGTGGAACCGCTGTGGTGTGTGTTCAGGGAGAGCTCCTGACTCTCCAAATCAGAGACCTTTAAGTCAGGGTTTCCAGGGTCTAGGACGCTCAGGATGTTATTGATTCCCTGAGGGCTCCAGACTGTCACTTTGTGACTTTGCCCCCTTCTTCCTCTCTCCACCTTCCTTCTCCCTCCCTTCAGATACCGATTCTGGAAGTGTTTATGAAAATCTGGGTCATGTATTTCCTGGTCATAAATCTTAGAAAAAAACAAAGAGTCTGATATTAGTTCCCTTTTTGTGTAACATCTAATGTCCTACATGTTACTGGTAACTAACATTGTTTAAGACCCTTTTTTGAGCTGCGATTCCTTCAATGAACAGAAATTCTTCTAAGATACTAGGGTTGCAAGTTATCACCAGGGGCCATCAGTTAGGGGGGCTGTAGAATTTCCAGAAATAAATCATAAACCAAGAGTATATGAGAATAGATGATCCAGAATGGTTGTAGTTTTTCAAGGATGGGCCTTATAATCCGTTAATCATTTCAATATGTATGTTAACATTTCTAATTGGCCTTAATATTTAGGTTCCCAGTCTTGAATGATGTATGATGGCCTTCTCATATTACTTGGCAAAATCTCCAGTTTCTGTTAATTGCATCAATAAAGGTTTATTGTTTCCCATAAAATGTTTTAAATGACTTTTTATAAATCTTAGATTCATTCATTAAGAAATTTTATTATATTCATAATTCTCCATTGAAACTCCTTTAATGATCTAGTTTATACACAATGCTGAGGGTGGACAGGATATGATTAGATGACACTTAGATGTTTGTTCCTGGGCCAAAGTGGCACAGATGAATGTTTCCGAACCCTTGGAAAATGATTGCAAAAAAATCCCACCTGAATATGCAGACACGTAATTGGATCCACAGCTATTCATATTTCATGGATATCTGTTTTTAATAATAATGATATTAAAAATAATAGCTACTTATTTATGTACCAAGTGTCTGACACTATGCTATACAGAAAGTATCTCAATTAATCCTCTCAGCAACCCTGTGAGTCAATGATGCCATTACTAATCTATTTATTAGGACGCTGAAGATTTAAAGTTAAATAACTTTCCAAGGTCACATAGAAGTAATGGGCAGAGCCTGGATTCACACCCAAGTCTTTCAGAAGTCAAAGCCTTTACTCCTCAAAGTCCTACCTGTGGTTCTCAAACCTGGTCTGAGTATCCTGAGAGTTCTGGGACCTTGAAGGGCATCTGTGAGGTCCTCTCTTTTTTAACTACATATTTGCAAGGCCCCCTCTCCTTCCGTGGGAACTACACTGCAGCAAAGTGAACGCAGAAGCACATATGAAGACTCAGTGGTCCTTACTTCAGTAGACGTTAAAGGGATTTGCAACCCTGTAAAACAGTGTGACTCTTCTCACTGTGTGCTTCATTTTGGAAAATATAACCATCTGTCAAAGGGTCATTAATTTTTTGTCTTTTTTATTTTTCTTAAAAATGTTATTTATATTATATAATGAATTTATTGTTTTTTTAAATAAGTGACTCAGAAGAAATATTAAAAATAGTATGTATATATTTTTACATTCTCAGTTTTAATTTATAATTTGTAAAATACTGATATACACAACTCATGTAAACACAAACTCTCAGCAATCCTCAATACTTCTTTAGTGTTAAAGGATCCGGAAACCAAAATGTTGGGAGAATCACTGCATTGCATTAGATGTTTCTACTAAGGTTTGTGCTCTAAACTGAGCTTCTTTCCCTGTTCATGATTATTTGCCAGGTTTTTTTCGCTACACTCAGCTTTTTTTGCAAGGTTTGTAGTTCATTTCTTCTCATTTTTCCTTAGAGCCATCTCACTGCCATTTAAAATGGAAAAATCTTATTTCCTAGTGCCATTTAAGAGAACCTTCTTTTAAAGCACTTAGTGGGTCTTTGGTGGGCAGATTGCTTGTTGCCCTCCTCCTCCTCTGGCCCTCCCAGCCTTCAGCGTCACTGGTCCCTGTGAGCCTTCCCCGGGAAGCTTCACTGCAGTGATCCACTCAGAGTGACCAGGCATTTTCATTTATAATAATAATAACTGTAGTGAACATTCATTTATAAGCATTTACCTTGTGCTCCACAGAGTAGCACTTCAAATTCTCAAAGCATATTCATAAGGTAGGTATTATCCCCATTTTACAGATGAGAAAACTGAGGCTTAGTTAGAGAGGTGAAGCAGCTCGCCCAATTTCACATTGCTAAGAACTGGCAGGGGCAGCTCTTGGATTCCTGCAGGCAGTCAGGCATCTTTGTTTAGATAAAGCCAAGTTTTTGTTGCTGAAAGTGGCTGTTTCATCAGATCTCACACTTCTCTGACACTTCATGCTCATGATGCCCTCCTTCAACCGCTGTTATTTTATTGTAATGGCCCCCCTTTTTCTACATTTAGGACACATGGATCCAATCTGTGTTTCTTAATATGCAATACAGTTCATAAAACTTCTAGTGTTTTTAAGTCCTCATTGAACTTTGAGAGGGAAGCCTTTAGGAACAAAGGAACAAGAAATCCTTTCATTGCAATGGGACGATGTTTTTTAATAGTGAAGGTGCAGTAGGCAAAATTTCTGTAGCATTGATTGTCACATAGCTGGCCCTGGGATGTGGCAGAGGAGGGAGGGAATCAGATCTGCTCGGTAGAAAAATTGGTTGGGACTTAACTGCTATTTCTGTGTTAATAACGGTCTTAGCAGCTGTGGCTTTGGGAATGTCTTCCTTAGTTCTGAGAAGAAGTACTGCTCTGGCACCGGATGGCCCTCGTTTTCTGAGGCCCATGGAACATCCGGCTCTGATGAAAGTAACACAGGAATCCTGAGACGTGCGGACACCTCGTTAGGATCAGTTCGCACAGAGGTTGTCTGCAAGCAAGTGAGTTTCTTTGTTTTATCTGTTTGGTTTTCCCTGATGCTCCCCCAAGTGCCACAAAGAGCCCTCTTGTCCTTATCACATCTAGTTGTCACTGAAACCCATTGGGTTTCTACTCATGCTGCTTCGATCTCTCCCCCATCATTCTGGGTGGGTTAGAGAAAGAACCTTCCTGAGCCACTGAGTAGCCTCGCCTGCTTCTAGCCTTCCAGAGCTGGAGGCTGAGTGAGAATATGAAAGAAAGAGTTGGCCCTTCACATCCTTTTTTATTTATTGGGGTGACATTGGTTCACAAAATCATACACGTTTCAATTGTATGACTCAATGAAACATCATCTGCACACTGTATCATAACCCATCGCCCAAAGCAAAGTCTCTTTCCATCCCCATTTATCCCCCCTTTGCCCACTTTCACCTCTTCTACCCTCATTTCCCTCTGGCTATCACCACGCTATTCTCTGTAGTTTTTAAATACATATTTGTTTCAGGTGCACAGCATAGTGGTTAGACAATTCTGTAGCTTATGAAGTGATCTCCCTGATAATTGTAATACCCACCTGTACTTTACATTCCTGTGACTGTTTTGTAACTTTTTAATCCCTTCACCTTTAAAAAAATTTATTGTTGAAACTATTACAGATGCTTTCCATTCCCGTCCCTTTGCCCACTTCCACCCAGCCCCTAACCCCCCCTTCGTGTAGCCTTTACACTATTGTCTTTGTCCATGGGCTAAGCATATGTATTCTTTAGCTAATAATCTCTTTACCTTCTTATATCCGGTTCCTTCCATCCACACCCCTCTGACATTTGTCAGTCTATTCCATGTACCCATGTCTTCATTTCTATTTTGTTGTCAGTTTCTTTGTTTTTTAAATTAGATTCCACATATAAATGAGATCATATAGTATTTATCTTTCTCTGACTGGCTTGTTTCACTTAGCATAATAATCTCCAGGTCCATCCATGCTGCCAGAAAAAACAAGATTTTTTCTTTTTTATGGTCAAGTAATATTCCATTGTGTAAATGTTCCACACATTTTTATATGCTCATTTACTGATGAGCACTTAGGCTGTTTCCAGATCTTGACAATTATAAATAACACTGCAGTAAACATAGGGATGCATATATGAGGTCTGTCCAGAAGGTATCCAGCCATAAAATATGAAAAATAGAGACATTTATTGAAGAAGATACAAGAATCATTGTACACAGGACAATCGTGCCTCAGTCCCCTTTAAAGTAGGCACCTTTGGACTTCGTACAGTTCTCCCAATCACTGTCAGCTGCACCTGAATCTCATTGATGGTCTGAAATCTCTTCCCTTCCAAAGATGATTTAAGTTTTGGGGAAAGCAAGAAGTCACAGGGCAGTGAATCTGGGCTGTATGGGGCCTGAGACACCTGGGTGATTTGATGGTTTCGCAAAAAGACTGTGCATGAGACATGATGCATGAGTGGGTACATTGTCGTGAAGAAGCTGCCAATCACCAGTTGCCCATGTCTGTGGCCTTCTAAATCACATGAATAGTTTCTGCGGAGGAATGTTCAAGCTTAACGTAAAATGTGATGCAGATTCGTTGCTCTACTCACTTATTTTGCATGCTAGAACCACACAGTACACATGCTCATTCCGTGTCGTTTACTGCCCCCACTGACTAATACAATGAAGCTGTCACTGTTCACTCATGAACGTTTCAGTCCACTCACCTTGGATGCCAGATTACAGCAGTGTGTGCAAACTATTCTTGTTATATTAACAATGGCTGGATTTTTTCCGGACGGACCATTTTTTTTTTTTAATTAGTGTTCAGGGTTTCTTCGGATATATTACCAGAAGTGGGATTGCTAGGTCGAAAAGCAGTTTCATCTTTACTTTTTTAAGGTATCTCCATACTGCTTTCCACAGTGGCTGTACCAGTCTGCACTCCCACCAACAGTGCACAAGGGTTCCCTTTCCTCCACATCCTCACCAACGCTTGTTTGTGACTTTATTGATGATAGCCATTCTGGCAGGTGTGAAGTGATATCTCATGGCCCTTCACATTCTTTTGAACAGGGACAGGCAGCAAAGGCCTAGTGTGGTTGGCATCTCTTCATCTTCCTCCCCAGTCCGCAGTGTGTCAGTGACAATCTGAGTGACACTGCAGGTGACAGCAGCATACTGTTCCCTCTGTGAGCTAGGTAGAAGAGAGCGCTTAAATCTGGACAACAGATTTATGTTGATATCCTGTGTGTTCAAACGTTCTGGTTTTGCAAAACACCAAGGCAAGCAGATAAACACGTAATCTTATCTTCAATTAAAAATAATACACTGGCTACAGCAACATTATTGAGTAATTACCCAGGAACTGTGAAAATGCTTTCTATGCATTATATCAGTTCATCGTCATGCAATTCCATTAAATAGCTACAATTATTATTATCCCTATTTTATGGATGAGTTAACCAAGGCCTAAGCTCAATAACATGCTCACATTCTTGCTGATAAAACAGAGAGCTATTTACTACTGCTGAGTTCTACGTTCTTTCATTTCTTAAACAAATTCCATAGACTTTTTCCCCACGTCAATATCAAACACTGGGTGGCCACATGGGGTTTGTCTGTCTACTTTTACAATGTAAAGAGCTTTTCCTCATTGGAGAAATGACAGAGGCCTCTCTTCTTTGCAGTGTGAAGCTCACCTTGGCCATGTGTTTCCTGATGGACCTGGGCCCACTGGTCAGAGGTTCTGCATCAACAGTGTGGCGCTGAAATTCAAACCAGGGAAACCCTGACTCCCTCTGAGAGTCCCGTTCCCTTGCCACTCCTTGGTTTTCACCCTCAATTTTCAAAATTCACCTGACTGACTTGTTCATTTAATCCCAAACTGGACTAAATTTGCTGCTGGCACAAAGCAAGTCACAGCTTCTCTAATAATGTATTCATCTGGAATGAACTTGACCCTGACTCTGGCTCTGACTGTGGAATCTCACAATGTGGCAGAGGGACAGCCATTTCCAGCCAATTGGCTCCTGTAGGCTCTGCCTGGGACCTGAGGGCATGACTCTTTGGGGAATATCAGGAGGCTGATAAGCAAAAAAATGTCTACAAAACTACCCTGAAGTTTCCATTGCAGTTAAGTCCTCATGGGCTTATATAGATGCAAAAGAAGAAGGGAAATAGGGGATTGATCAGCAGTCCAGCAATGAAAGAAGCGCCGAGGGGTAGGATTGTGGAAGAGCTCTGCTTTGGGAGGCACATGTGGTGGGGGATGGGATGCATGACTCTTTCTCAAAATTTAGAACGTCTGGAACATTCTAGGTCCAACCTTGTGGCCCCCAAATAAGTTCCGGTGGGAGTGTGTTAGGTTGTAGCAACAGTGAGTAAAAATGCCTACAAAGTTAGACTTCAAAGTGTTCAAATAAAATGTTTACTAAAATTTATGTTTGCTTTTTATCTAAGTCTGTGAATTTGTTCTTTTATAAAAAAAGACTAAATCAAATGCCAAAAAATAAATAGATCACATGGTTGGTTGTAGGCATTTGTTTATTGCTAATACCAATGGCAACTGAAGTGTTCTATAAACTGAGACTCTTGAATAATTTGCTATTGAAAGTGTTTGAATAATTTTATTTGGGATTTATGGGCAGAAAGAAAACTTAATTATTCCATTTTTCTCTTGATTCACTTGTAATACATGATTTACTTCTTCTTTTAGTGACTGCCTTGGAAATCACAACGTGCATTCTTAACTTTTTATGGCCATATGAAAATTATTACTTTCCTATTTACTTCTCCAAGAATTCTAATGTTAGAACACTTTAAATTCCAGTACCACCTTCCTATGTTTCATGTTACCATTGTCATGTGTTTAATTTTGCACACACACGTAACCCCACACACTGTCACTGTGTGTGCCAACATCATGTGCAGTTACCTGAACATTTGCAACTTTCTGTTGCTCTTCATTTCTTCCTGAAATTCCATGTTTTCCTGTGCGATTATTTTTCTTCTGCCTGAAGGACTCCTTTTACTGTTTCTTTTAGTTCATGATTCTTAGTGGTAAATCTCAGTTTTCGTTGTTGAGAAATGTATTTATTCTCCTTTAATTTTTAAAGCTTTATTAAGGAAAAATTTATATACAAAAAAATACACATATTTAGTAAATTTTTGCGGGTTTGGTCTCCTTTCATTTTTGAGGAGTTGTTTTCCTTGGATATTGAATTCCAATCTGGAGAAATTTTATTTTGGTATTTTAAAGTTTTGGGTGTTTTAAAGTTCCATTGTCTTGTGGCTTCTGTTGTTCCTTCTGAGAAATCATTGGTGTTATTGTTGATCCATTGGAAGTAATGTGTTTCCCTCCCTCCCCAGCTGTTCTTTATTTCTGTTTTTATTTGGTTTTCAGCAGTTTGTGATGTACCTTGGTGTGGTTATCTTTGTATTTCTTGCACGTAAGACTCATAGACTCTGTGAATCTTAGGTTGATATTTTCATTAGTTATGGAAAATTCTGTTATTATCTCTTCTCTATTGCTTTTTCCCTACTCTCCTTTCCTTCTGCAGCTTGACACAAATTTTAGACCATTTATTATTGCATTCCGTATATCTCTTAGGCTTTTTTTCTGTATTTTCTTATTCTTTCACATTTTTGTACTTCAGTTTGGAAATTTTCTGTCAATGTGCTCTCTAATTTACCAGTTTCTTCCTTTTGCATGTCTAGTCTGCTCTTAGACACATCCTTTGAGTTCTTAATTTTAATTGTTGTATTTCTTTTAGTCCTAAAAATAACCATTTGATTCTCTTTTGTAGATTCCAGTTCTCTGCTGAAGTTTACCATAGGTGTATTTTTCCTTCACATTTTTTTTCCTTAAACATATTAAGCATAGTTTGAAAAGGCTTTGCCAACTAAACTTTGCTGTCTGGATCAACTATGGGTATATTTTGTCATTTGATTTTAATCATGTATTCTTGCCATTTGGAAAGTGTAGGAGTTTTTAAATTGAATTTCAATATTATGTCTTTTTAAAATATTACACTCCCATCCCTGGCCTGTGTGGCTCAGTTGGTTGGAGCATTGTCCTGTAAACCACAAGGTTGTGGGTTCAATTCCCAGTGAGGGCACATACTTAGGTTGCATGTTCGGTCCCTGGTTGGGGTATGTGCTAAAGGTAACACTTGATTGATGTTGCTCTCTCACATCCACATTCCTCTCCCTGTCTCTCTCCCTCTCTTCCCTGCTCTCTGAAATCAATGAGCATGTCCTCAGGTGAGGATAAAAAATGCATATATTGCACTCTTCTCTGATATTACCTTCCTCTAGAGAGGGTACGCTTTTCTCTGTGATGAGTAGATGGAGTGGTGGCCACTGTTTTAATTCAATTGGACAAGAATTTAATTCAATTCAATGTGTTAAATTGCATATCCAGAAGCTGGTTGTACACCTGATAAAGCTCAGTGTACCTCTGTTTTACCCCTGACCTTCCAGACTGAAGGTCAACTGAGAGCCTGTGTATTCTGTGAGGCCCTTCATCCTAAAGCAGCTTGAACTTTTCATCTCTGCTCACAAAACTGATGAAAAGCAATGCTCTGCATTTCAGAGGCTTTCCACTTAGGGTTTTAGCCACCTAACCCACGCAGGCCCCACCCACAGTCAGCAAACGTGCTAAGAGGAGAACTAGCCGTTTTCCTGGGGGCTCCAAGCCTGCTTAACGCTCTGCTCATCTCTGTGTCCCCTGGGAGATGCCCTTTGTGGGCACAAAGTCCAGACTCTTGTCAGAATTCATGACTGGTTAATGATCCCAGGATAGGAGTGGCCTCTGGGGTTCTTCTCTCCCTGGAGTTGTGCTGGGCAGAACAATTGTTCCCCAAAGATACCCAAATCCGAGTCCTCAGACCTGTAAAAGGATCTCTGCAGATGTGAATACGTTAAGGACCTTGACACAGGGAGACACAGATTATCCTGGATTATCTGGGTAGGTCTGTTCTAATCACATGAATCCTTAAAGTGGAGAACTGTCTGGGCTGAGGATGGAGAAAGCTGTGCTGGTGGAAGGATGATCAGAGAGATGCTATACTGCTGCCTTTGACGGTGGAGAAAGAGAGCCACAAACCAAGGGATGTCAGAAAAGGCAAAAATGTGGATTCTCTGCTAGGGCCTCCAGAAATCTATTTGATCCCACTGAGACTCTGTTCTCACAGTTGTGTGAGATGAATGTTTTTAAGATGCTGCATGTGGTTATTTGATATAACAGCAATAGAAAACGAATATAGGAATCTTTACTGCAGAAGATTTCTGCTGCCTACAAAGAGATACTTTTCATATTTTATCTAGTTCTGGTAGCGTTTCTGGATGAGAGTGCTGGTATACTGTTAACTATACATCGCTCCTGAGTAATAGCCTACAATTTTTAGTTGTCAGTTTTAACTTTGCCTTCACAAATATCCATGTGAGGGAGGCAAAGACAGTATGTTTATTTCTATTGTATATTTGAAACAGAAGTTCAGGAAGCTTAAATAAATTACCCAAATCAGATAATGGGTAAGAAGCCAAGTCAGGATTGCAACACAGGTCCCGAGACCCCGTGTCCAGTCCTCTTCTCATTATTCCACCTCCTACGGTCCATGATCAGAATCGAGGACTCTTCTTTTTCAAATTACTTACATATAGCAATATGTACTTATTTTAAGTGTACTGAATGTTAATAAATTGCTGAATGTTAATAATTTTATGCAATCATATAACCTCTACCACAGTTTTTCTAATCATTTCCTCCATGTGTTTCAGGCTTGATATGCTTAATACAAACATTAATTTTCTTGGCAAGAACCTTGCCCTTAACCTTGTTAGTTTACCCAGCACACTAGGGTTAGGCATGCTGGGTAACATTGTAGACGCTTCTGGTTTTGCCATTATAACATTGGTGGGGCATTCCCTTGATGTCTACGATATCTCTTTTCTTGTGCATTCACATGTATGTGGCCAAGGGAATGGCTCCATGCTTCCTAATAGGCCTAGAGAACTTGTAACAGGTTCTCCTCTTTCTCTTTGTTTCTACCCTTTTGGTGAATGATTGGAATATGGTGGTTCTGGCTGATACCCTAATAGCCTTGTTGGATTCATCCTGTGGTACTGGATAAATCAAGATGTTTTGTGCTGGAGGCTGACTATGAATACAAATTACTGTGTTCTGGCTTCCAAACTTCAGTGGGTTTTAAAGTATATTCACTGTATTATAGCCAGTTGAGATCTTGTTACAAAAACATAAATCACCATTTACAGCAGGATATCACCATATTATAAAAAATATAAATCCTTATTAAAGACTACATACTCCGTTTGCTAGCTATTATGCTGTTGGTTAAAAAAAATTCCTGGTGCCCATTTCATTTTGCCAGTCTCTTGGATTCCACTACTTCATTCTTTATCCCTCTATAATAATTTGAGGAAATGTATTTATTCTAGAAGGGAAGGAATTCCAGGAAGAATAGTTGTATATTTATCTGGTGGCCATTTTTCTTTGACATTAAATGTTGATTTCCACTTTTGTGCCATTTTTTTTCCTTTCTAGGAGGCAAACTCTAGGAGGCAAACTGGCTCTGCTTCCTCCCTTCTCTGCATCTCACCCACTTGAAACAAATTGAAGGCACCCTAATTGTCAGAAATCACATACTTCAGACTCTTGGGATCTCATAGAATCTCAAATACAGTTCCCTGGACTAAGAGGTTAGAAAAAAGAAAATTCAGAAAGCACTAACTAATCAGAAAGCTTCCTTTGCCCCATCCTGGGTCCACCTCTGTAGCACTCTTCCCCAAGGATTTCCTGGTTACAGGAGTGTTTGCCACAGCTTTCACTCTGATTACATTTTCATTTAAGGACTTTTCCCCAAAAGAGAAACACTTACTGCTGCCTCAGTCTACCCAACTTTCTGGAGGCCTCTGTTGTGTGAACCATGACTGACCGTGTGCCGCTCTCACACTGCAGTGCCGAGTAACACAGGTGGGAGAACAGCAGGAGTGTGATAGACCATCGTTTTTACCTCTGCAGGTATGGTTTTCTCCGGCCACAGAAGAGAATCGTAATCATTTTGATGGAGTAATGACTTTGAGATTAACCTCCTATTCAGGAACTTCATGCCTACCTCTTCATCATCAAATTAGTACACATATACACAGTGTAAAAAGCATGTATGTGTGTATATATGTATGTATGTATGTATGTATGTATATACTAAGAACATGAAGCCAGTGACTGGTTTGAATAACTACAGAGAGATATGGCTAAAGAAATGATCACTGAATTATGTGTTGGTGCTTGGTTACACATCTACTCTTTGTTAACAAAAAACCTGAAACACCTCGTAAGTGACTGTTTTAACTTATATCTTAAGATCTGTGAGGAATATCAAAATGTGAGCGCATTTTGAGCAGAGGATATGAATAGATG